GAGAACAGACATATGGGATATGGTGAGCTAGGGTCGCAGATGAGATTGAATAAAAAATCAAGCATCACCACTCGACTCAGCATGCTCGATTACCTATAGTATGACGTATTCAAGGGTGATTGAATGCCACCTGGCCAACTTCGGGGGTCTCAGGAAAATGCGTATACCTCCTAAAGGGAGCAAGCTATTGAGCTCGGCCTTGCGTAGACTAAACGATAACAATTGGATATTTCAGATGTATTTTTGTGATTCATACATTATAAAAGTAAAAGTACTCCAAACAATATTTCGTAGCTTATGAAAGAATACTATTTCACTAGCAATCATGAATGTTTGCACTAGTCAGAAACATTTTCCTTCATCATTCTTATCAGTAGAGTACGAAAACTTTTCACAAGTAACTTGCAAGCTTCATAAAATTCTAAATAGAATCACTTGAATAATAATAGACATGCCTCATCATTTGCCATTGATATAAATCATAATAGAACAATCTATAATCTAGAAAGTTTCTTAGTATAAAATCAGCAATTATTCAAAACACATATACAAAATTTATATATGAACTTATATGTTTGATGTCAGGACTCGAACACAGCAAATAGTAGATTTGAAATCTTCCAAGCGTTTCTCAATAGTATAAAAAATCGATTTCTTACTGGTATTACTCAATTTTAAACGCAATTCTATCGCTGCATCATACTTTGATATATAGCGATTATATACGATTTTATTGTTTTAGGCTGTAATAAAAATTTCCTTCTATCCTCGGATGATATGTTTTATAAAATTTTAGGAAACAACAACACAATTGTTAATTGCAATTGATGTAAATCGAAAGAAAATCACTGAAACAACACCAGAATTTGAACATCTGAAAGAAGAACATGAAAAAATGACACGCATTTATGAATCAACCAAAGAAACTATGATAGAAACAAAACGTAAAAAACAAGAAATTCTTGATAAAATTTCTAATACACAACGTGATATTCGACAGAAAAATAAATCACGTGATATAACAATGTTAGCTGTTAAAGAATGTCAACAAGACACAAAACAACATATGCAAAAAGCACATGATGATATGTTAAAACTTGAAGAAGATATTTATGAAAAAGGTTGTCGATTAGAAACATTAGAAGATGAAAATGAACGATTTCAAAAAGTAATTTTTATTATTATTTTCTCAATTATTAATTTTCTCTTTTTCTTTAGACTATTGATTATTTAAATTATCAAATTGAATTATTTAATCGTTTTTCTCAACAATCAAATATTGATATAAAACATCTCGATGAAAATAATCTCGGCCTTCTTAGTTAGTTTATTTTCTTTATTTCATTCCTTTTTTTTTCTGAAACAAGATCCAAAACAAGTGTTGAAATATACAGATAGAAATGTAGACTTACTGTACCCCGCAGCTCGTAACAGGCGTTGTTGATATACGATGAAAGATTATAGATGAATAATATCTCGTTGTAATATATGAATTACTATTCATTTTAAAGTATAATGTACTGCACTGATTTTTGAATGATTTTTCATTAATTGAAACCTCTGACTTCAGCTAATTGATCAGTGATCGCCCGGAAGAGCAGCAAGGCCGGAGTAATTCATCATGCTGAGTTGAATTGTGATATATTGTTTTTAGATTCCAAATAATCTGACACTGTTATCTTAATATATTCAGAACATCGACTCCTTCGTTACATATGAAGGCTGATAGTAAAATTTTAGAAGTATTGAGATAGCAAAGTCAGATCATTGCAAATCTAAAAATAAAGCTTGATGAATTACCACTATCTAGTTACTTTTCTAAATAATTACAGGTCAATTGACTGAAATCATAGGTTTCAGGAAAAATCTTCTAACTTTTGAACGGAACAAATTAGGGATATCAGTCTTAAGAACATCTACCAAGAACTTACCTAATTGATCAATAAGTAACCAACCAAATTTCGGTATACTCGAATAGCGCCGGATTTTCTCACTTGAGTGATGAAAACCGTGGGCTTCTATATTATTCCTATCAAACGCTATTCAAAAAACAATTTTGAAACGGATAGTATCTCCTTATTACGACTCTGGATTATTAAGTCAAATAATGATGAAAATGTATGTTTCAAAATAGATAAAATAAGTTACATCGTATTTTAAATTTTAATCCAATCGAGATTGAACTAACAGTTTTTTCTTATATAGATATTCTTGAATCCGGTTGGAATGATGATCGAAAATTAGAACATAGAGCAGCAGAAAAAGATTTACAATATATTGATGATTTAACTGTTTTACTTCAACATACTGAAAAACGAAAAGTAAAAGTTGGTTCAATTGTTAATCGTCTTATTGGAGAATTACAACATTTAAAATATTATCTTGAAGGAATGTCAAATCCATCAACTCCTATTATATCTAATCCAACGCCTGGTAGAAATTTTCATAATTAAATCTATCAGTTTTATTTATTTGTTTTTTTTTTCTTCTAAGATCATCCATCACAAACAGCTTCAAGTAGTCGACGAAGCCGTCATCGTAGTATATCAGATGAACGTGTTCAATCAGCAATCACATCACCAACAACACCATTAGGTTCTATAAAAACACGACGTAGACCACAATCAGCTAGACGTGGTGATTTATCAGCACCAACACCAATTCAACTTACAGATGAAGTTCGACAACGTGTATCAATTTTTGTTGAAGATAATTTTGATATTAAATCAATTAGTAGTAAAAAATCATCAAAACATAATACAACAAGTCGATCAACTGGTCAACGATCAGCACGAACAGATTTTTCATCATGGAAATCAGTTGTTACTTCAGCACCAAGTCCAGTTGATGAAAATGATCAAAGAAAAACAGCAATGAATCCAAGAGTTGCTTTTGCTTGATTGTTTCTTTTCTTTCTTTTTTTTTCAAAATAAAATTAACTCATATCAATGTTTTATATTTATAGTGTATTTATTTTTAATTTTTATTAGCAAAATCTTCTTTCAATAGGAAAGTTTGTCTATCGAACTTTACAATAGAGAAGGGTGTGAATGTGAGGCGAAGAGACTATTATATCAGATTGAACAAGATCTTCTTTCGCTATTCACACGAAAAATGACATATGTTAAGTTGTTCAACATCTAAGAAGTCAATTATTAATATTCAATCTATAATATGTATTCGATTATGTCAAAATGCCTTGTAATAAACCAATCGATGAGAAAAACAGTAGTCTATTTTGTTGATGTAACATGATAATCGATTATATAAGCTATTCACTGTTTTGACCTTCTATTTCAACAAACGAATATCACACATAAATGCTAAATAGGTGAAAATGACTTATCACTTTATAATATATATATATATATATTAACTATTTGAATAATAAATTATTTGATTGATCGATTTTTTTTTGGTATCTAATGTTTAACATCGATCAATATCATAATGACAAAGATTGAATGATTACTTCCATTGCCTGTTGCAACATTGTTCACACTTATGTGTGGAGTAAACTTTTTTTGTTTTTTCAAAGAAAATGTTACCAAAATTAAATAATACTTGATATTCGATAAATTTTTCTCATTTGAAATGAATCTATTACTAATATATTTGATCTGATAGTTAGTAGTAATTGTTTCTGATGATATGTATAAGTAGTCGTGAAATATTTTAAATAAAATCAACAACTTCTATTAATATTATTGTCATTTATTTTACAAGAATGAAGATAATTTATAGTTTTGTTTTCTTATACCATCTTCTATTATCATTGTTCATTATATACATATGAACCTGATGATCGTCTCTTATTTGACTAATTATATATCAATGATAATAATGAGGAATATAGAAAGGAGGTAGGCAATGTTTATTTAGAAAGTTCGACTTTTAAACAAGATGAATAATATTTATCCATCAGTATGAATGATTATATTACAAAAAATCTGTTTTAAATTTAGAAATAAAAATAAAACAAGATGATGTTATATTTTTCACATTATATCCATAAAGAAAATTAACTAAAATAATATAAATGACGTTATCTATATTTTTCTTTTCTCTTGTCAAATATATTCGATAAGTATGTGTATACAATTAACAATTCGATGAAAAAGAATTTATGAACAATATAATTTAATTTCGGTCATTTTTTGTGAACTATCCTTAAGCATGTAACAGATTGAATTCATATGTATATAATATATATATGCGACTAAGAAAATGAACTCACTCACTATTTTATTAATGAACGAAACAAAAAATTAGATGCAATCGATGTCTTATTTAACTTTTGCCGATTCATCGATTTGGATGAAAAAATAAGAAGAGATCATTGTTAAAAAAGGTAAATGATGTCATATGATCAAACAACTCACTTATATAGGTATGACAAGTGGACAACAGGGGGTAGTGAACATCACATAGAAATAGAAAAATATGAGGAACGTGTCAAGATTAGAGAACTTAGATGAAAGTCGACAAATTTTCGTAAGCATCCGATGAACGAGAATATCATTCTCACATTAGTACTGGTATATAGAGTAGCTTAGGTTATATCACTGACGAATGGAAAACTTAAGAAATTTCGTATTTTTCTTATTATTTTGGTTAACATTAAGAGGCTTCTTGAACAGATGTGTCAATTTTTTTTAGGAGAAGAAAGGGCTTTCATTTTCGAAGTGGTGACTGCAGAGAAAAGTCAAACCCATTTGGACTCGACGGTCTCTAATCGTGATCCGCCCCTCTCGCAACGATATTGTGTGCTGATTCCATTTTCTACCAAAGAAAAATGAATCGTGATTCAAAATTCGATTTCTATTCAAAGTTATCACAACGTTTTAAAAAATTGGCAGAAAGTTGAACCTTACTGAGAAAAGACTCCTCTGTCCTCTTCCAATTTAAAGTTCTAACTCCGAGTGAGTAATCCTCTTCCTTCGTCCTTGAAAAGTTTTTTTCCTTATCTATTTCCAAAAATCTTTCAATCGGCTTCCGTCCTAACTCCAGACAACTTTAGAATATCTCTGCTAACATCACATCTGTACAGCTCATAGAATACAAGACAAAATCAAGATTTTTTTTACTAACTTTTCGGACGCTCATGATGGTCTTCTGAAGTTGTCTGTCGACTTCTTAAATAATACTTTATTTCAAATATTGTTATACAAGACAAAAGATAAATAGAGATTAAATTTTTTCGATTTTTATTTGGAAAATTTTTTGAGAAATCGTTAAGAACAAACTACAACATCATTCACTTCGTTCTTTGAGCTCAATGCCAACGTGAAAAAAGAAAAAAAAAGTATCTAACTTTTTCTTATTGGTCGATTTGCAATAATTATAGAAAAAAATATCTATTGGTAGAAAAAGCCAACTAGAGTGAAGAACAACACAGCATGGTTTCTCCAATCAGCACCCTACAGTTTCTCCTTCTCTCTCTCTCTCTTCCGTTTTTATTCTATGTAACAAAAAAAAAATGCTCGACTGGATATAACACGCATATTTCCTTTCTTTCTATCAGTCGATTCACACCTCAGGAGTCCCTATCGTATAATCTCAAAAGAAAAATTACATAATTAATTTCTTTCTTTTTTTTCATTCCCTATTGGTAGATATTATTTTTCATATTAACTATCTCAACAACAACGATCAAAAGAATTTAACTATATTACTATGTATGTGTCTATATTTGATAGATTACCTACGGGAGTTATTATTTAAAGTATCAATAGTTAGATCCTGTTGAGTTTTAAAGACACATCTCACCTTAACGTTTCAATAGAAAATCGGCAAGTGCTAATTCCTATTGAGATTGTTGACAAACAATTACACAGTGAGAATAATCATTAAGTTTATCTTTCAAATCTCCAGCTGTTTAAATCAATGTTCGACCTGACAAATCCATCAATTGATGGAACTCTTAATACAACAATATCATCATATCAAAGTCCATATACATCAACAACTTATCGATCATTTACTTCAACACCATCATCATCTTTTCTATTTAATTTACCTAATTCTATTGATGATCAACAACAACAACAGCAACAGCAACGTCTTACAGATTTTTCATCATATCCAAATACAACACAAGATCTTATGTAGAAATTTTATTAATTGATTTGAATTTAATTTTTCTAAACTTCTTAAATTTATCTTCTAGGACATATTCTATGTTCGATCATGAACAGTATACAAATAATCAATATAATTCTCGTCCTGTAGATTCAACAAATCAAACTCCATTTTTACCTTATTTATATCCATCATATCGTCCAGGTTTTAATACAACATCTAATATTACAAATGGTAAAAACGAAAATTATATTTGTAAATGGATTAATCCTGATACAAATCGAATATGCAATCAAATATTTACTTATATGCAAGATATTGGTAAGAATAATAATAAGAAACTTATATAAGGTTTTTCTCTAACAATAAATTAAGTCTATTTGAACTTGAGCCATCATTAGAGCCCATCGGGTACAACATTTTTGAACCCGAATTCGGAAACCAATCAAACGGTTTCTAACCACTATAGCTGAATAGCAACGTTGTTCGGCACTTATATACAAAGTAATTTGTGCAAACCTTAATACCACCAACCATGGAATGACCTTGAACAAGTCACTAACGCGACTATTTGTCTCGAATCACTTATTCGATAGTATGCCGACTATGTTATGACATACATCTGCTCTTCTACAGTTAGTCATAATTGTAGGTAGGATATCGGACTAATGAATCTGCCGCTTAGCACTATTTCCCAGCACAAGATAGCTGTACAACAGGAGTATTCTTTCTATTTGAACTTGATTCAATGACTGAAAGTAATAATCTGCATTTTCTCGCTTGAAATCAAAGCTAATATATTTTGTTTGTTCTGACGAATTGACCATCAAAGATTCTTATAATAATAATATTGATTTATTTTTCTTTTCTAGTAACTCATCTGACTGTTGAACATGTAGGTGGACCTGAACAATCATCTCATACATGTTTATGGCTTGATTGTACTCGACATGGTCGAGCATTTAAAGCCAAATATAAATTAGTTAATCATATACGTGTTCATACCGGTGAAAAACCATTTGCTTGTCCATTTGCACGATGTGGAAAAGTATTTGCACGTTCAGAAAATCTTAAAATACATAAACGAACACATACAGGGTTAGTTATATATATATATATATATATATATATATATTACATACAGTTTTTTTTTCGTATAGAGAACGACCATTTCAATGTCAATATTGTGAACGAAGTTTTGCTAATAGTTCTGATAGAAAAAAACATCAGCATGTACATACATCTGATAAACCATATAATTGTCGTTTTAGTGGTTGTGATAAAACCTATACTCATCCATCATGTAAGATTAAGCAAAGAAAAAAAAACAGACATAATTTTTGTTTAATCAAATTTAATTTTCTCTTTGTTTTGTTTTTTAGCTTTACGTAAACATATGAAAATGCATGAATTAGTATCATCATCTGATTCTAGAAATAATGAATCATGTACAAAACGAAATAATCATCATCAACGTAATCAATCACCTCAAATAAATAATTCCTTAACAACTGATAGTTGTTCTCAATCACCATTATCTTCATTTGAAAATCTTGTACCAATGAAAAATATATCATCATCAAATTATATACATCATCCAATGAATGTTTATCATCATTCGAATAATTTTCAACAACATTATTCTGGAGTTAATTTTTAAAAAAATAATATGTTTTTTTTCTTTCTTCTTTTTCTTGCGAGATGTTTTATATAAATAAACTATTCATTCATTGAAATTAATTATCGTATTATACATATAACATATAATTACTTTCTCTTCAATGCGGATGGATCAAATATTGAAATAAAACTTTCTTATTGAGACCTCCTACGGTGATTTTCTTTCTTTCTCTCTCTCTTTCGCACCTATTGATTTTCATATTCTATTGTTTGACGAATAATCTTTGCAGGGTGCCATGTCTATACAGACGGCCGTTCAATTACTGCGGCTCATACAGAATTTAATATATCATCCTTGTAATCAATTTTTCAATTGTCTACTTATATATATATATATATATATGATCATCATTTTCCACGGCAGGATATGATAATTATTGACAACAGAAAAATAAATATTTTATTTTGCTTAAATAAAAGAAAAAGAAAAATAAAGATCATCAGCAAAAATAAGATTTTTTTCTCCCGAAGAGTTTATGTATGAAGGAAATAAATAGATGGAATTGACCATAAAATCAGATAATATTCAAAATTTAATGGATCATGATAATTGTTTAGTTTTTTCCACGACGACCGAATCCGATTGATACTAAAATAGTAAAGAAAATTATTTTTAAAGAAATTATTCATTTTTTTATCTTTTCTTCTTTTATTTTATACAATAGAGATCTACATCACGGTTGGAGTCAATATCAGATTAACATCATTATTTTTATTTTTACATAACGGGTAAGTCAAACGTTTTAAGACAAAATATTTGTTTTAAAATATCTCACAAAAGTCTAAAACCTACGAATCAGAATTTTGTGTTCTCTGTGAATATGGGATTAGAATTATTGTGTTAATTTTTGTTCGAAATTAGAGAAGGAAATTGTTCAAGGCTAAAAAAATTAGATTGACTGGTGAATCAATAGATTTTGCTAAACTGTATATGTTCGAGTGGACAATTCTTCAAACAAAAAAAATTTGTACTGAACTAAGCTGTGGCTTTTACCTAAGTGAAATTACAAGCACCTTGCCAAGCGTTACTTTCGATACAAAACGCCGTTTGATCAAAAATGAGGATTTAAGAGAAGGACAAATTGAAGTGAGTTGTGAAGAAATTCCAATAGCAAATTTTGTGGAGTAACTACTGCTGTAGAAGTTAATATATTAATACAGTTTACGGAAAATTTTTCCATACACTTTTCAAAAGATTGTTTCAAATTTTTAAGCGTTCGTTAGGAAAGAGGGCGAAATTCTGGATCATAACTCATAGCTTTTGGCTCCTCGAAAAAAACACCTTCAAACAAATACTTTGTCTTAAAACTTTTGACCCATCCGTTAGTAACAAGTTCATTCTTTATATGTTAAGTAATGAACAAAAATGCACTATTTTATAGATTCATAAATAAGTTTCAGGAAAAAAGTCCATTAGAGAGACATTTTCATTAACATCTAGCACAAAGGGAACTATATATATTTTAGGCAAAAAAATTTTTAGAGATTCTCGGAGTCGGAACCGGAACTACTGGAGTGAACATTTTCGTAGTTAAAAAGTTTAACTCAGCAGGACTCTATCGTACATTCTACGTATTCGCCATTCAGACGGATTATCTATTTTTATTTTAGTTTACATAGTGTCATTTGTCTACTATCTACAACACATCATGTGACTGTTGACAGGCAATAAGAATCAATGGCATGTGAATAAAAATAGATGACTTGTACAATATATAAAAAGGACGAAATCAGTAAAAAATATTCTCTATGAAAATGCAATATAAGAAATGAATGAAAAATAACTGCAACAAGAGGACTATTGATCACTGATAATTTCATTAGATAAAGCTAAGAAATGAGAGTTTTATACTAAATCACAAATTTATATTCATGAATCAATGTGTTCTCAAGAAGATAGTTCAAGAAAGTTCTCATCCATGAAGTTCATATCTCATTATGTTGCTGCTGAAATTCTATAAATTCTTGTAGTTCCATTAAAATTTTTCAGTAATGAGACAAAAAATAACTCACTTATAATGATGAGTACAACTGTGATAACAATACCACCAATGCATATATTTGTCTAAAAATATGAATAGAAAATTATATCAAATAATAGAAAAATGTTTTCTTTTGTTTTTTTTTTGTACTTTTGTATTTTTCCACCAATATTTTCTTTTTAATTGTTTTGCTGTTCGATTATATGTTGTAGCTGATGATTGAAGATCATCAGTACGTGTTACAAGATTATTTAATGCAACATCACGATCTAATAATTTATCGATATTGTCTTTCATAACACCAACAACTTCTTGAACTTGACCATGAAGTCTAGAAAAGAAACGAAAAAATTCTCTTTTTAAAATTAAGAGAAAATTTATTTTTATGAATATCTACGTTTTTACAGTATTATTGTCCGTTGAACGTGTATTATTTCTAAATAAATAAAAACAATAGTTATAACGGTATATGTGCGAGCATATTACGCTTACGAGTCTGTTCGAATGTCAAGTGCTGCCTCGTCATCATCGTGCATTGTCGACTACAATAAAGTTTCAGTGAAAAAAATTGACTCTGATTTATAGTGAATAAGATTCGCTAGTATTGTTGTCATTTATTGAAATTAACTATTTCAAGGTAATTCAACTTAAAATTAATTAATAGCTTTAGAGTTCAGCAAGCAATCATTTTAATTAGTTATTTTTCCATTTCTCAACATCTTTTGTAGAGTATTAATAAAATAGAATTCAAACATTCATTAAATAGAGATTCAAGTTTGAAAGTGTTCATTAATGAAATTTACGTCTAAGACATATTGACAACATAGCTCATCACTATATAAACCAAATATCAAATGACGGTAATTCATCTTAAGTCTAACCATTAGAATAAAATATTGTCTGATGGCTTATTAGTAGAGTCTGTTAGGCCTAAAAGTTTTGAACTGAAACCCAGATTTCCATTCCTAATTTCAAAGAAACATTTTATTCTCAGTCCGATAGTTTCTTCGAAAATGCAAAGTTTTTCTTTAGACAATCTTGACAATAATCTTGTAATAATCAAGTCATCGTAGGATGTTATTATTATAGTATGACCTATGGGATCAAATTTTGAACTTTGACACGAACTCGATGGTGCCTGCAACCAACCCCATCGTGTCTACTCATCTTATATTTGGGCAAAGTCTTCTTCATGTTCAATATTCTTGTCTGTATTGACATCTAATGTAAATAGAATTTCAAGCTGTGTTGATACAAGTTCTAAGTAAATGACCTAATTATCTAATAATAAATACAACACAATGCTTTCTATTCTACTCTTTTTTTCAACGTTAGTATCACGATCTGAGTTTAAATTTTAATCTAACATAGTTCTCCAGATGGAATAACTTTTAATAATAAAAGAAATTCTCTAAACTTACATAATTTTGTGAACGAGTATAACCAGCTGTAGCCATTTGTTTTTAAATGAGGAAAAAAATTATTGTGTATGTATATGTATATATTGCAGATCTAGATACTATTTCTAATCTGAAAAAAAGAAACAAATTTTTTCATGCTAAATATCTTGAATGTATCTGATTGATTTTGAAGCGAAAAAAAAAAGCAAAGAATATATTTAAAACAATTGAGTTTTTTTAAAATTTCTTATGCAAAAGTGCTCTCTCTCGTTAATTGATTTTTTTTCCTAAAAAGTGAAACTACAATCGAAAATCTTTCTCTTTCTGGTTCAAATAATACGAATGATATTTACATAGATAATATTGTCGATTAATCAACGTCATTCTATATTAGATTAACAAAAGATACTAAAAATTCTATGACTGAATCAGGTTAAAGAAAATAATGATAGAAAGAAACAGGTATAAGAGCGTATTGTTTTACTCCTGAAAATATCGATTGATGTAATGTTATGATCTACATATTGTTCAGATGCAATCATAAGGATATTTCCCTGTTTGTCTACATGGTTATACCTGTATATACATATGTTCTTCATTTTTTCTTTGTTGTTAGTCATGCACTATTGAATTTTCCTTTTCCGTTCTGTTATGAATTTTCTCCATATTATTATCATCTTATTTATTACATTGTTGTTAAAGAGAGAGACGAATATAGTGATATCGAAATAAAGTAAACATGGAATTAAGATCTCACATGTAAGAGTTATTTATTTCTTCTAATAATTGTGTTTTTAAAGAATAAAAATATTTTTAATTCTAAATAAACTAATCAAAGTAAATTTTATTCAATATCTTCTTAACCTTCGATGTTTTAAAAATTTATTCCTACAAGAAATTTTTCAATGAGAAAAAAAACATCATACTATTAGATACATTTCTTGATAATCTATGCATATTGAATCGAATAAATTTTGTTCACATATATTTTAGATGAACATTTCATTTTTCATATATAAAAAGGTAAATTTATATTTTCATTTATGTTTTTAACACATAATATCACAAGATATGAATGTATGCATTTCTCCATACAATTCTTCACTAATTGTTTCTTCAAGACGTTAAAGATCAATATCGAACTATTTCATTTTATCATTACTATAATTTTATTTATGTTGTATATGGTTATAAACGTAAGTTGTTTGTACACGATAAGAATATCAGTACTGATATATTTGTATCTAAAAATATAACGAGATATGAATTCTTATTTCTAGAGTAATATTTATATTAGAGAATGTTACAAGGAAAAAAAAAGCCAATGGTTGAAACACTTTCTGATTTTCAGTAGTATTTCATTTAGAAGATAACTTCACCTGAGGGTACGAAAATTTAATCCAAGATAGTTTTTAATATCTTTTATTAGAATATTTACACACAAAATCCTTCCGACTCGATTAATGAAAGTTTCAAATTAATTCATTCAGCAGTATTAGGTCAGCTAATTTTATTCAAAGTAGCTGAAGATATCGATATAGATACGTCTAATGAAAGATTAAATGTATATATATATATATGTCAGCGTCCAAACTGAGATTACGTCCAATCTTGGATTGGCCTAGGCGAATGTTGGATCCGACATTGAACGCGTCCAATCTTGGATTGACGCAATTCTGTTCACTAAAATATCAATGACTCTTTAGATAGGCGTTGGATTCAAATTATTTTTTTTTGAACTATGTTCACACAATACCAGTGTATTTGGAACAATTGTGATTTGGTAGATTTTAGTAAAATTTTAAGAGTTATGAATAAATTTCTAGAAAACAACAACTTTGATGAAAAATTTTTATTAAATTTTTGAATCTAAATT